CAGCAGCAGCAGAGACAACATCGGCAGCAGCAGAGACAACATCGGCAGCAGCAGAGACAACATTGGCAGCAGCAGAGACAACATCGGCAGTAGCAGAACCATCAACGGCAGCAGCAGGAACGTCAACACCAATTGCTGGTCCTTCAACGACACGGCTCCTCATCGACGATACACCACCGACACCCGCGCAACAAGTACACCCAGCACCACGAGAAGTTCATCATAGCGCCAACTTCACCGCCAACTTCTACTCCAACTCCGATATGTACCGACGATCACCCGGACATCGCGCCGACGAAAGCACCTGGCACGCAAGGATGGGACACCCAAGCAACACAGTATTAAACAATACGATAAGAGCAGGAGTACTCGACAAGGCTTCACTCCTACTGACCGACGGACGAGAACTTCAACGAGTACGCGGAACGTGCTTCACCTGCCCTGAAGGTGACTTACCACATCGACCGTTTGCATCTCATCACAACCCGAGCGCACCCGCGTACGCACCACTCAAGAAGGTGTATAGCGACATCCTGTTCAATCGGGAACCAGGACAAGTAATATACAACTATACAATCACCTTCATCGACGCCGCCACCCGTTACGTCTGGCACCTAAACCTCCCTAGCCGCGACATGGCATTCGAAGCCTTCGTTGCCTGGCTACCAGTAGCAGAGAGAGAATCGGGCGTGAAACTGAAAAGCTTCCAGTCAGACGGAGGAGGAGAATACACCTCTCAGCGATTCAAGCAGTACCTGGCGGAAAGGGGAATCAAGCAGCTCATCTCCCTTCCCTACGCCCATCAGCAGCAAGGTGTAGCAGAAAGAATGAACAGGACCTTGCAGAACAGCATGCGCAAACTGTTACGTGGCGTGCGGCTACCAAACCACCAGTGGCCTGCGGCAATGGACCACGCCGTCATGCTGCACAACCTGCTCTCGTCATCATCGCTTCCAAACAACGCATCACCGCATCTGCTATGGACAGGGAAACAGGGCAGCACAAAAATGTTACGAGTATTCGGATGCATGGTACAGTACCGACCCCCAGCAGCACGAGCGGGCCGATTTTCTCAACGAGCACAGTGGGGACTACACCTGGGCATCGAAAAGAACTACAACGCGTGGAAAATCTTCGACGTCCATTCCAAGGAAACAGTAGCAGCACGTGATGTAATTTTCTACGAACGACTCACGCTCCAGACATACCTTGCCAACCTGCAAGAAGACCAGGATCCCACAGGTGGTTTTCGCGGTGACCGAGCCTTCGCCTCAACAGCGGACGAAGCTGACTGGGACGAGCAGAATGTGGACAACGCATCAGAAGAAGCCGGACCTCTTCCGTTCTGCTCCGTCGACGTTCCCATGGACGAAGATAACCCTCGCGAAAGTGTCAACGCTGAAACCTTCTACTATTTCGCCGACAACGGTTACGTAACACCTGCGACAGTCAACACCAACAAAGTAGAACGAGTAGGACCGAACTTCATACCTGATCCAGAAGCGGGAGATGAAGCAGCTTATCCCGAGGACGCAAATCTTCCCCGCTACTCACAGAGTGAACTGCAAATTCTCGGACTCGTCACCGCAGTCCACGGCACCGCCATTCCTAAAGAGCCTGCGACAGTTCAACAGGCTCTGGGGGGGGAGCATAAGGAAAAATGGCGCGAAGCCATGGACAAGGAGCTGAAGGCACTGGAGGAACGCAACACGTGGAAAGTGGTTCCTATCGGCGTGGCACGGAACAAGACAGTGCTCACCGGGAAGTGGGTCTTCCGTGTGAAGACAAAGGCTGACGGCACCATTGACAAATTTAAAGCTCGCTGGGTTGTACACGGCTTCGACCAAGAACACGGACGAGACTTCACCGAAACTCTCGCTCCGGTTAGCCGCCACACCTCACTACGCATTCTCCTCGCAATCGCCGCCATGAAGAAGAAGAAGCTGCGACAAATTGACGTCGCGAACGCGTTTCTCTACGCACCTGTTGATGCAGAAATTTTTGTCGAGCTACCGCACGGCTCCCACAGAGAACCCAACCAAGTCTGCCAGCTACTCAAGTCACTCTACGGCATCAAGCAGGCTCCGCGACTGTGGCAACAGTACCTGCACGCTCGCCTCATCCGCATCGCCTTCAAGCAACTACCGCACGATCAAGGCATGTGCCGGCTCACAAAAAAAACGACGACTACATCGTACTAATCGTCTACGTGGACGATCTCCTTTACATCGGCTCAACTGACGGCATCACTACCTGGTTCGAAGGGGAGCTGCATCGAGATCTCACGCTCACAGTTTCATCTACCGTCACTCAGTACCTCGGCCTCAACATCCGGTAAGAGGAGGACGCGATCTACCTCAGCGCCAAGAAATATGCCGACACTATCGCCAAACGCTTTACGCTCACACCGACACCCATCTCCACGCCATACCGATACAGGGCAGGGAACGACAAAGGAAGCTCTGCTCTACTTAAGCCCGCTGGCATACGAGACTACCAGAAGAAGCTGGGATGTCTTCTCGTCGCAGCCGTCACCTGTCGCCCCGACCTCTCATACTCCGCAAGCCAGCTCGCCACCTACCTCAAGAAGCCTGAAGTAGAACATCTGGCGGAGCTCGACCGCGCTCTACACTACTTCGTCAGCACCCCAACGATCGGCCTAACTTACTACAAGAACGCAACCACACCGACTAAGTTAATTGGCTACGTCGACGCTGATCACGCTGGCGACTCCGACAATAGGCGCTCCCGCACCGGCTACATCTACCGCCTCGAACCTATCGGACCTATCTCTTGGCAATCGAGCAAGCAGGAGTTAATTGCTCTCTCGTCAGCTGAAGCAGAATATATTGCACTCTGCTCTGCCACCAAGGAAGGACTCTATCTTTGCGAGCTGCTGGAAGAAGCGAAGTTAGCCGAGTTACCCAACTTTACCCTGTTCTGCGACAACCAGTCGGCAATTCGCATCGCCAACAAGAACGGCTTCGCGAACAGGACGAAACACATTGCCCTGCGATATTTCTTCGTGAAGGACGAGATCGAGAAGGGAAGGCTCGAGCTGTCATACTGTCCCACGTCCGAGATGGCAGCTGACTACCTGACCAAGAAGCTCGAAAAGCAGAAGTTCGAATACTGCATGCTGCTGACTGGACAGAGCCACGCCAGCGACACTCCAGAAGTGAAGGGGAGTGTTGGAAACAATCGGTCCTAAGTGCCTCTGTCGTTTCGAAACACCAAAGACACAAGCGAAGCAAAACACTATCGAAGCACCAGCGAGTCAACCCTCGGAGGTTGAAGTGACTGTCGGAGGTTACGCGAAAGTCAAAGGTCAGCAACCTTCGACCTGACAAATACAGCGCGACAGCAAAGACACACAACTGACTCGTTACAGAGCAGTTGCCCGAGTCGTCACTGTATCGAACCGCAACAGCAACAGTAAAGTAGTTATAACCGTGTCTTTTCATATTCCCTGTATTCATATATAATCTTGTATCTCTTTGCTTTAATCAACTTACTTTGCCCTCACATACTAGCGCAAGGTGGTTCACAACTCTTTAATTAACGCTTCCGCTACTACACCAACTCTACCCAGAGTTCACCACTGCAAAGATCCTAAGGGTTTTTCAGCCCAACAACTCCTACCCAGAGTTTAGCCTTGCAAAGATACTAAAGGCTTTTTCTCAGCCCAACATGGTATGAGAGCTATCAGGGCAAACTCAACTACTTTCAAGACACCTACAACATCAGAAGGCATGGCAACACAGAAGGAGAGGAGTTCCTCTAACGATTCTCCCGGTACTACTCCTACTACACCTCGTGCCTCTGGCCTCCAAACAGAGGAGGGCACAGCAACAAGACCAGCAGCTGGGTCCACTGAAACTCCCGCAAATCAAGCCGCGGGCCTTGACCCAAGCATGATGGAGAAGTTCTTCTCCTTCATGTTCTTCTATGAATAACACCAGCAAGGGGCACCTGCGCAGTCAAACAACAGCAACAACAATAACGATGTGACACCGAAGAGCCTCGACGGTTCATCCTACGCGCAAGGAAATCAGCAACAGCAACCTACCTTCGCCTCGTACGAACCCCAGCGCGGTTCCGTCAGTTTCATGCCGCGCCAGCAGCCTTCACCTAAGCAAGAGAAGACATTGGATGCACTTCAAGTTCGGTCGCAGTTTGCGCATGTCTTAAAACTGCAGACATCAAGACCGTTCGACGGAAAAGACTTCTTTACCTGGTCGCTCAAATTCGAGCTAATGATGGAAGGCACACAGATTCTTGGCTTCTTCGACGGGTCTCTGCCATATCCAACACACGGGACGCAATAGGACAAACAGCAGTACACATACCAGTCGATGATGGCGTACACGATCTTGCTGAGGAACATAACTCCAAACCAGCAACAGAACATTCGGTCTTACCGAGGATACGGCAACTCCGCTGAGCTCGCGTACAACCACTTGAAGAACATGTATCAAGCAACGAACAGCGTCAATCAAAGTCGGTTAATGGCACAACTGACAACAGTGGAAATGAAACCGGACGAAAAGGGGATGGCGTATATCAGCCGCTGTCGCGAGCTGCGCGACAAGCTTCTTCGATGCGGATGGACGATATCCGAAGACGCCTTCGTCACAGTCATCATCGGCGGTCTTGGTCCTCAATGGCACTCCACCCGAGCCATTCTCCGAGCCCACAGGAAATTCTCCGAAGCAGCACTCTGCGCCGAGATTAACGCCGAGCAGCAAGACATGGACCTGTAAGAAGAAAAGCAGAAGAGGAAGACGTCAGTACCTGAGTTCGCTTTCCACACTCAGCGGCGCTGGAACAACAACAATCACCGGCAGAACAAGTACCAAGGACAGCAACCCGTACCACCGTTTTGTCATCTCTGCAAGACGTCGGGTCATCCCCGCACACACTGCCCAAACCGGCAGCAGTCAACGCAGCGGCATCTTCGACCTTCAGGCAGTCAAGTAACATCCACGCAGACGCACCCCATGAGTCAGCCGCAGTCCTCAACAACATCACCAACGCAACCTGCACAAGGAGCAAGAAACATCGTCAGTTGCATGGCAAGACTGGGAGATTTTTGCATCACTGAATCACCGCCACATTACTCACCGGAAGAGCAACTCGACAACAGCACTCCTCGCCGCGGATTACTTCAACCGAACGTACGCAACCATCGCCCAAAACGAACCATCCGGGAAGGATACCTGGTTCTTGAACAGTTGCTGCGGGCAGCATATGTGCTCCTCGGGTCGCTTCGTTGAACGGGAATACCAACTTCAACGAGAAGTCGTGATCACCATCGCCAACAACCAGAACCTGCGCACACGACGACAAGGCGTGGTTCAACTTCAATCACGGGAAACGAACGTTATACTACAGATGTCGAACGTAAGTTGTAGCAGAAGGACTCGGCTACAACTTACTGAGCGTCAGTCAGCTGATGGCGAAAGGCATCCATCTCGAAGCAGACAGCACCACTCAGGAGTTCAAGCTGTACCACGGGAGAGGCGGGCTTTACATCGGGAAGGCGGTCCTAAAGAATAACGTCTTTGTCCTCGACTTTGTTCCAGATTTAGGCACCGCCGATAGCGACGGAATCGTCACCTTCACCTCCTGGACGCACCCACCGGATCTTGATCCTGACTTCAGCCCCGAAGGCTTCTGGTATTCGCACACTATTCCTGAGGCAGAACGAACAAGAGCATTAGCAACGATTCAACACTTGGCAGCAGCAGAGACAACATCGGCAGCAGAAGAGACAACACCGGCAGCAGCAGAGACAACATCGGCAGCAGCAGAGACAACATCGGCAGCAGCAGAGACAACATCAGCAGCAGCAGAGACAACACCAGCAGCAGCAGAGACAACATCGGCACCAATCGCGGGTCCTTCAACTGCACCAGCCCCAATCGATGGCGACACTCCACCGACTCCTGCGCAACAACAGAATCCAACTCCAAGAGAAGTCCATCGAAGCGCAAATTTCACCGCAGGCTTCCACTCCAACTCCAATTTATACCGTCGCTCACCCGGACATCGAGCTGGCGAAGATATCTGGCATGCATGAATGGGACATCCAAGCAACACAATCAGAGCAGGCGTGCTCGATAAAGACTCACTGCTTCTAGCCGACGGAAGCGAACTTCGACGAGCTCGCGGAACTTGCTTTACCTGCCCCGAAGCCGACTTACCACATCACCCGTTTGTACCTCATCACAACCCTAGTGCTCCAACTTACGCGCCTCTGGAGAAAGTGTACAGCGACATCCAGTACAATCGCGTGTACGGCATATATGCTATAGTCTGTGTAGGATGTAGTGGGGCAGTTCATATGGGGTACAACACTTTAGGGTTTACTACTTGTACTCCTCATTCTGCTCAATGCATTCATTCTTCGTTTCTTATCATGGTATCGAGCAGGTTCCCTAGTCTGAACGCTACCAAGGGCCCACCACGATTTTTTTTTTCCTGCCCGGAGTGCGCTTCACTCCTGCCCGAGTCGCGCTCTCTGTGCCCTCCCTACCTTCGCGCCGCCCTTAGTGGCCCCTCTCACGGCCCCTTACGCCGCCCTTACGGCCCCTAGCGCCGACCTCTGCGGCCCCTCGCGCCGCCCTTACGGCCCCTTACGGCCCCTCGCGCTGCCCTTACGGACCCTTACGGCCCCTCGCGCTGCCCTTACGGCCCTCGCAAGGCCCCCTTTCGGCCCCTCGCGATGCCCTTTCCGGCCCCTTACGGCCCCGTCGCCGCCCCGTTTCGGCCCCTTGCGGCCCCTCTGCGGCCCCGTCTAGGCCCCTTGCGGCCCCTCTGCGGCCCCTCTGAGACCCCGTCGCCGCCACCTACTACCCCGTCGCCGCCACCTGCGGCCCCGTCGCCGTCACCTGCGGCCCCGTCGCCGCCACCTGCGGCCCCGTCGCCGCCACCTGCGGCCCCGTCGCCGTCACCTGCGGCCCCGTCGCCGCCACCTGTGACCCCGTCGCCACCACCTGCGGCCCCGTCGCCGCCCCCTGCGGCCCCGTCGACGCCACCTACGGCCACGCAGCCGCCACCTGCGGCCCCGCCGCCACCTGCGGCCCCGTCGCCGCCACCTGCGGCCCCGTCGCCGTCACCTGCGGCCCCGTCGCCCTCCCCTAGCGGCCCTGTCGCCGCTCAGCCGCCCAGCGACCGAGCCGCCGAGCAACCCTGCAGCCGAGCCGCCCACCTGCCGAGCAGCCGAGCCGTCCAGCAGCCGAGCCGCCCAGCAGCCGAGCCGCCGAGCAGCCGAGCCGCCCAGCAGCCGAGCCGCCCAGCCGCCGAGCCGCCGAGCCGCCCAGCAGCTGAGCCGCCCAGCCGCCGAGCCGCCCAGCAGCCGAGCCGCCCAGCAGCCGAGCCGCCCTGCCGCCGAGCCGCCGAGCCGCCCTACTGTCGAGCCGCTGCTGTCCCTAAACCCCGGCCCTCCTTCCTCGGACTGGTGAGTTCACTCCCTCCTAGGCCACTTCAGTCATGGCTACCCCCAGTGTCCTTACTTTTGATGCTGAGGGCCGTGCCGTTGACTTTGAGGTCTGGGTCGATGACCTCCAGCTGTTTCTCCAGTGCGATAGGGCAGACGGACTCTCTCTGTTCGATCTCACCTCTGGTGCCTCTCCTGCCCCGCCTGCTACTGCTGACAGTACTGTTCGCTCACAGTGGGCCACACACGATGCTGCTGCTCGCCTTGCCGTGCGTCGCCACTTACCGACCACTGAGCGTGCACACTTTAGCCAGTACAAGAGTGCCCAGACCTTGTACGACGCTGTAGTTGCACGCTACTCTTCCCCTGCCACTGCTGCACTGAGCCGCCTCATGCTACCGTACCTCTTCCCTGACCTTGCTGCCTTCCCCACAGTCGCTGACCTCATTACGCACCTCCGCACTAGTGACACTCGCTACCGCGCTGCGCTTTCTGCTGAGTTCTGCGCCAAGAACCCCCCCACCATGTACATCACCCTCTACTACATAGTCACCCGGCTCCCTGACTCTCTCCGTGTAGTCAGGGACCACTTCCTCTCAGTTTGCCCCACCACTCTCACCGTTGACCTCCTCGAGAAGAGCCTCCTAGCAGCAGAGAAGAGCATAGTCGCTGTAGGAGCCTCTCGTGGTGACCCTCGCACCCCCGTCTTTGAGGGGTGTTCCCCCTCCCCCCTCTTGCCCTCTGTTGCCTCTGCTGCTGTGGCCGACCTCGTTGGTTTCGAGTCGGTCGGCGCTGCGTCTGCCCTGAGCGGGAGACGCCGCACCGGCAAGGGCAAGGGGGGCAAGGGCGCTGGAGGGGTTGGCGGGGGCGGTGGAGGTGGTGGTGGAGGCAGTGGAGGGGGTGGGGGTGGTGGTGGGAGTGGTGGCGGGGGTGGAGGTGTCGGTGGCAGCAGTGGAGGCGGAGGAGGCGGCGGCGGTGGCGGAGGGAGCGGAGGCGGCGGAGGTGGTGGAGGCGGCGGAGGCGGCGGAGGTGGCGGAGGCGGCGGCGGCAGCAGTGGACCTGGTCGCAGCTCTGCGCAGAGGAGTGGCTCCAGTGGTGGTACGCGCCAGCAGCAGCAGCGCAGTCGTGAGACTCTTTCCGCTGAGCAGCTTCATGAGTGGTACGCTGCGCGTCAGCGCGGTGGGGGTACGGGTCCCTGCACCTACGTTCTCCGCACCAGCGACCGCGCTGGTGAGCAGTGCGGGGGCCCGCACTCCACCCAGCGCTGCTTCGGCCGCCTGACGGACGCGTGGCGTCACCAGTTCCCTGAGGCCTCTGAGATCCCTCGCTGGGGAGAGCTGTCTAGGGCGGGGGTTGCTATGTTTGATCTTGATTTTGATGCTATTCTTGCTGCCATGTATGCTGTTGCTGATAGTGTTGAGGGTGACTGTTACTTGTGTGTTCCGCCTGACCAGGGCATTGACCCTGCTGCTCTAGGTGCTGGTGAGGCTGCTGCTCTAGGTGCTAGCGCGTCTGCTGCCCCAGGTGCTGGTGAGTCTGCCCTCTCAGGTACCACGTCGGCTCAGGCCTTACACACCTTCATCCTTGACTCGGGTGCTTCCCGTTCCTTCTTTCGAGACCGCACCACACTTACGCCGCTTAGTCGGCCGGTTGCTGTCTCCCTGACGGACCCCTCTGGGGGTCCTGTCCTTGCTTGCTACTCCACTGACTTACCATGTCCGGCAGCCCCCTTTGGCACCCTGTCAGGTCTCTACCTCCCCTCGTTCTCTACAAACTTGGTGAGTGGAGCTGATCTACTGTTAAGAAACTAGCGAGAGTTTGGCTTAGGAGCCATAGTAGCTTAGGTGACTTGGTGAAGTTCGAGGGTGTAGGGTGTAAGGAAAATGTCGAGAGAATTGTGGAAGGAGAATGTGGAAACTAGAAAGGAGGGGGATACAAGTAGTAAGCCCTAAAAGGGTTATACTCACTTTTGAGTACCCCACTACAGACTAGACATGCATTATGATCTGACATCTACAGGATAGGGGGGTTGACTAGTTCACTCCTGCGAGACAGCGGGTGACCCACTGCACGTGTGCTCGGACAGGCCGACACTTGGCCACGTTCACCCGTTGGCCGGGGTCGAGCCTGTACACCCTGACTACTGAGTCTCCTCCGGCTGCTGAGCCTGGTCAGGTCGCTGCGTCGAGTCAGGTGTTTGCTGCAGCGTCCAGGTCTAGTCCTGAGTCTGCTCCCTGCTCGTGTCGTCTCCTATCTCACCAGACTCTCCTTTGGCACCACCGCCTTGGTCACCCCTCTCTGCCTTGTCTCCGAGGCATGGCCTCCGGTGTCATTGTCTCTGGTCTCCCCCGGTCTCTCCCTCCCCTACCTCCGGAGCCTACCCCTACCTGCGTCCCCTGCGTCGAGGGGCGACACCGCGCCGCCCCTCACTCCTCCGAGTTTCCTCCGACAGAGGCTCCGTTGCAGACTCTTCAGATGGACGTGTGGGGCCCCGCCCGCGTCCGTGGCCAGGGGCACGAGCGTTACTTCCTGTTGGTGGTTGACGACTACTCGCGTTACACCACGGTCTTCCCCTTGCGCAGCAAGGGTGAAGTCACTGAGGTGTTGATCGACTGGATCCGCGCAGCTCGTCTCCAGCTCAGAGAGAGTTTCGGCTCGGACTTTCCTGTTCTGCGTCTGCACTCTGACAAAGGCGGGGAGTTTTCCTCTGCCCGTCTGGGAGCCTTCTGTCGTGCACAGGGCATCTGCCAGACCTTCACGCTTCCGGCCTCTCCACAGCAAAATGGGATTGCTGAGCGCCGCATTGGTATGGTCATGGACGTCGCTCGTACGTCCATGATCCATGCGGCTGCCCCCCATTTTCTGTGGCCGTTTGCGGTTCAGTACGCGGCACATCAGCTCAACCTTCAACCCCGGGTCTCCTTGCCAGAGACCTCCCCCACCTTGCGGTGGACGGGGAAGGTTGGCGATGCGTCTGCGTTTCGGGTCTGGGGATCTTGGGCGTTTGTCCGCGACTTGTCTGCGGACAAGCTGTCTCCCCGTGCTGTTCCCTGCGTCTTCCTTGGCTTCCCCCCTGACGCGCCTGGTTGGCAGTTTTACCACCCCACCTCGCGCCGTGTTCTGTCCTCCCAGGACGTCACCTTTGACGAGTCGGTGCCTTACTACCGTCTCTTCCCCTACCGCACTGCGCCCCTTCCCCCGCCGCCGCGCTTCCTTGTGCCACGTCCTCCCCCGGTAGACCCCCTCCCCCCTCAGGGTCCTTCCCCGTCAGGTGTGTCCCAGGTAGACGCACTCGAGCCTGTCGAGGTAGCTGTTGACTATGGTGCTGCTAGAGGTGCTGAGCCTGCGGGTGCCGGGTCTGGAGGTGCTGAGCCTGCGGGTGTTGAGTCTAGGGGTGCTGAGCCTGGGGGTGCTGAGCCTGGGGGTGCTGAGCCTGGGGGTGCTGAGCGTGGGGGTGCTGAGTCTGGAGGTGCGGAGCCTGGGGGTGCGGAGCCTGGGGGTGCGGGGCCTTGGGGCGCTGAAGCTGCTCGTGTGACCGCCGGCGGTGCTTCGTTGAGGCGGGAGCCACTCTCTCCGCAGGAGCTGCGCGAGTGGTTTGCCCGGCGCTGGAGCCGTGCTGCTGGAGCTGGAGGCACTACTGTTGCAGCTAGTTCCGGAGGTGCTCGTACTGGCGGTGCTGGAGCTGCTGGGCCTGGGGGTGCTGCTGGGGCTGCTAGAGTTGGTCCTACTGGAGCTGCTGGCGGTACTGGAGCCGCCGGTCCTGCTGGAGTTGGTGCTGCTGGAGCTGCTGGAGCTGGAGCTGCTGGGGGTGTTGGCGCTGGTGGTTCTGCTGACGCTGGTGCCTCTGAGGGTGCTGGAGTTGGCGCTGTTGGAGCTTGAGGTGCTGCTGGCGCTGGTGCTGCCGCTGGGGGTACTGGTGCTGTCCCTGTTGGTTCTGGAGGCGCTGCGCGGCCGCGGCCATACTTCGTTCCGCTCCTTGCACAAGTTCTTGGTCTCCCGCCTTCTACTGGTCCTGCTCCTCACTTAGAGTGTCCACAGCCCGTCCAGTCGCAGTCACAGTTACAACCCGCCTCCCCTCTACCTGCTCCTTCTCCCTACACTGGTCCTACTAGAGGTCTTACTGAGCGTCGTGAGCCTGCGTCTCGTCCTTCGTCGCCTGTTCGTGCTGCTCGCGCTAGTCGTCGTGCTCCACGTCCTCCTGCGGTCCCAGACACACCCCGGATGGCACTTCGTCCTTCCACTGCTCCTCTGCGTGTCCCGTTGCCGTCTCCTCCAGAGTCCTCTCTTCCTGTTCTCCCTGACCCGGCCTCTGACTTTCTTCGTGCTGCCAGTCCTACTGTCACGCGTCTCCTGGCCACTGTTGTCACTGACCCTCCTTTGAGTCCACTTCTGCGTCTGCCTTAGTGGCAGAGCTTGTCGACTTCACTGCTCGTTGTCGTCTAGACTACGCCACTAGTCTTGTTGCTGAGTCCGAGTCTGTCTGTCCTCCGTCCGTCGGGGGTGGGTGTGCTCCTAGCACGGACGTCCTTGAGGACAGGCAAGAGGAGTTCCAGTGTTTTGCTGCTGCTTTGCCTCATCTCGTGTCCACGCTAATTGCCCCTAAGGGAGACCCAGATGCACCAGACATCCCGACTCCTCGATTGTACGCTGAGGCGATCGAGGGTCCCTACTCCTCTCAGTGGAAGTCAGCCATGGACGCAGAGATGGCTTCCTGGAAGTCCACAGGCACCTACGTCAACGAGGTTCCCCCACCTGGGGCGAACATCGTCAGTGGCATGTGGATTTTCAGGGTGAAGCGGCCGCCGGGTTCTCCGCCTGTCTTCAAGGCGCGTTACGTGGCTCGAGGCTTCAGTCAGCGGCAGGGAGTTGACTACTTTCAGACCTTCTCTCCCACCCCGAAGATGACCACTCTTCGGGTGCTGCTGCACATAGCCGCTCAGCGCGACTACGAGCTTCACTCTCTTGACTTCAGCACAGCTTTCTTGCAGGGCAGCCTGCACGAGGAGATCTGGCTGCGCCGCCCACCTGGCTTCACTGGGTCGTTTCCTCCTGGTACCCAGTGGAGCCTCCGGCGGCCAGTCTACGGTCTCCGCCAGGCGCCCCGTGAGTGGCACGACACACTGAGGACCACACTTGCGGATCTTGGGTTTGCTCCTCCTACAGCCGACCCGTCGCTGTTTCTGCGCACCGACACCTCTTTGGCGCCGTTCTACATCCTCGTGTACGTCGACGACTTGGTCTTTGCCACTGCTGACACTGCTGGACTCGCCCACGTTAACTCCGAGCTGCAGAAGAGACACACGTGCACAGACCTGGGTGAAATGCGCAGCTACCTTGGCTTGCAGATCACCCGGGACAGAGCACAGCGCACCATTACCCTGACTCAGTCACACATGGTGCAGCAGGTCCTTCAGCGCTTCGGCTTCACGTACTCCTCGCCTCAGGCCACTCCTCTGCCTACTCGCCACTCGCTCTCAGCTCTGCCTTCGGATGAGTCCGTAGAGCCGAGTGGCCCGGATGCAGAGCTTGTTGGCTGCCTCATGTACCTGATGACCTGCACACGACCTGACCTTGCATATGCGGAGATAACTGCAGCAACGGGAGTTAGACTACGGGCTAGGCACGTGTGCTCGTGTGATCTCTACGTTCTCTGTTCCTTAGTCGTTTTCCTTGTGCACACACTACATGCTAGTTCACGGGGAAAATTGGCAAGAGTTTCACTAGGAAAAGTTCATAACAATTGGTACAATGAAGTTGGCACAGCAAGACTACATCAGAGCAAGCATTCAGGTCGGCCAACTGCCAACGCAGCTTGGTCGACCGTGCTCCAGCACGACTTGGTCGACCGCGCTCCAGCAAGGCAAGGTCGACGGCGTGCCAACGTCACAGGTTGACGGCGTGACAGCGTTGCTCACGCAGGACAGCAGTGCACCCTGCTTCGCAGTTGCGTGCAGGTGATTGGCGTGCAGAGTCTCGTCACCTACACAGCGCACAACACCACGTCAACCTCGAGCTGACGACTGCCTCTGATCGGCCACGCCGACCTCGGGATACCACCACCGAGGTCGGGCTCGCCAACTTTGCCTGGGCGACCGTCGTACTCCTCCGCAGCACTTCGCCACCCAGGTAACCTGGTCGACCGGGCAACCGCGTCGACCAGCAGCTCCGGTTCGTGTCCGTCGGCCTCCCAAGTCGACGACCACCTCCACGTTGACCTCACCAGGTCGACGACACCATCGGTCGACCTCCTTCATGTCGATGTCCCCTCTGATCGACCAGCTCCACGTCGACCAGCACAGTCGTCGGCCGACCACCCACGTCGGCCGCCCGAAGCGCGTCACGAAGTTGACGCTCCGCTACTCGACACCTTGCGTAAAGGTCGACGTCGGTCCCTCCTTCGTCGACCACCAGGTCCAGTCGACCACCCACAGGTCGACCAGCGGTCCGTTAGCCGACTGCCGAAGTCGGCTTCGACGTCCTCCGGAGGTCGACTCCCAAGTCGACCTCCCTGAAGTCGGCGCCACCCTGAAGTCGGCGCCCGTGCAGTGGTCCCCCGTGCAGGTCGACCTCCTCGTTGACCAGCTCACCCACTGCTGCAGGTCGGCTGTTCCCCTCACACCCGACCACGAAGTCGGCTCCGCCCAAGCGAGGACGGGGCCAATACCCAACTCCCGTTGACACTCCCCTGCCGCGTTCACGCTTGGGCACCCAGCCCACACGGCAGTACAGCTCGGAGACTAGCTCGTCGACGTGCACCCAACACATAGCACATCGTCCACCGCACCAGCCATGCAAAAGGGCATGGCACCTA